AATAAAATACTATGAACAATTTTATGCCAAACTGTTTAATAACATACAGAAATGTATACATTCCTAAAATGTATAACCTACCAAGACAGAATCATGAAGAAACAGAATATCTGCAAAGACCAATTATGAATAAGGAGATGGAATCAGTAATGTAAAAGTCTCCAATTAAAGAAAATTCCAGCACTGAATAGCTTCATAGTTGAATTCTACCAAACACTTAAGGAATAACTCACGTTAATCCTTCTCAAACTCTTCCAAAAAATAAAAGAGGAGGAAATACTTTCAATCTCATTTTATAAGGCCAGAATTACCCTGATTCTACAGCCAGATAAGGATACTACAAGAAAATAAAATTATAGTCCAATATCCCTGATAAATATAGATGCGAAAATCCTCAACAAAACACTAGTGAACCATATTCAATAGCACTATGAAACAATAATTCATTATGATCAAGTAGAATTTATCCCTGGAATGAAAGAATATTTTAACATATGCAAATTACTAAATGAGGTACACCACACACTACAGAATAATGGACAAAACCCATATTATCATCTTAATAGACACAGAAAAAGCATCTGATAAAATTTAACATCCATACATGGTATAAGCTCTCAACCAACAAAGTAGGTATAGGAGTGATGTACCTCAAAACAATAAAGACCGTAAATGAAAAGTCCACAGATAATATTACCTCAACAGTGAAAAATGGAAAGCTTTGTCTCTAACATCAGGAACAACACAAGAAAGCCCACTCTCACCACATCTATTGAGCATACAAATCAGGCAAGAAAGAGAAATAAAAGGTATTCAAATAGAAAATAAGTAAAACTGTTTTTCCATCCTACAACTTTACAAAATTCATTTATTGTTTCTAACAATTTTTCAGTGGAGTGTTTGGGGGATTTCTGTATGCAAGATTATGTTGTCACACATAATCATATGTAATTAACATTTATTGAAAACTACAAAATGCTTATGAAGAAAACACAGATAAATTAATAGATCTGAAGTAAAATTAATAGATCTGAAAGTAGAGCTAGGCTGCAATACAATGCTAGTAGGAAACTTAACTCCACTTTTGGCAATGGACAAATTATCCAGACAGAAATAAGAAAACACTGGATTTGAACCACGTGTTCAGAACATATGGGCCTAACACACATATACAGAACATTCCATGAGAAGTTTTCAGTTTGAGAAAGATATCTCACATTAATAAATTGGAAGAATTAATATTGTTAAAGTGTCCACACTACACAAAGTAATCTACAGACTAAATGTAATCTCTATTCAAATGGTCTTTTTCACAAAAAAGAAACAAAACCCTTACAATTTATATAAATCTATAAAAGAGTTTGAATAGCCTAAACAATGTTAAATATAAAGGACAAAGCTGCAGGAACTGCACTATCTGACTACAAAATGTATTTCAAAGCCATAGTAATCAAAACATTTGATACTGTCCAAAACAAAAATAAAACAAAGCAATAAAACAGACACATCAACCAGTTGAACAGAACAGAGAACTTTGAAATAAACCCATGCATACATTATGCTCTGTTAATTTTTGACAAAGATGTTAGGAATACACAATGGAAAACTGACAGTGTCTTCATTCACACACAGAAGAATTAAATTAGACCCTTACTTTACACCACACACAAAAATAAACTTAAAATGGCTAAATACTTTAATGTAAGATCTAAAACTATAAAGTTACTGGAAGAAAACATAGGGAAACATCTTCATAACATTGTTCTGGGTAATGATTTTTTGGATTTAATCCTGAGAAACAGACAATAAAAGCAAAAATAGACAAACTGGGTCATGTCAAACTAGAAATCTGCACAGCAAAGAAACAATGAACAGGGTGAAGAGAAAACCTATGGACT